GCCGATATTATGTGCTAATGGCAACTCGCTCAACTCTGTCCCCAGGTGCCCATAACAATTTGGAAACACGCATTAAATCGCTATCTATTTTTCAGCATTTAATGCTGTTCGCATTCAAATGACTTTTAATTGCCCGAAATTTCGCTGAATAAATAATCTGTTTTTATTGTGTGAAATAATGCGTGAGAAAATAAGTTAGTTGAGTTACAAAGAATCTAAAATTGTAAACAAATAAACTATGAACTTTGTGCGAATTGAGTTGAAATTTGAATACAATATGGAAGCTGTAGAGGAATTGAATTAACGAGATTCATTCAATTTGTTGTTTTTGGTTGATCTATAATACATGAAGAGAAACCCTAATTTTATCCAATTGAAGAGAAGTTTATCATAATTTAGCTTCGGGCTACTTTTATAAGGGTACTTATTACTCATTAACTAATTCATGTGGGTTTTATTATACATACATATGTATATGGCTGCTGCCCTTAGAAAGAGCAAAGCGAGAAAGGGAAATCAAGACATGCTTAAAACCAATATACTCATTTCACTCTCGTATATGTTTATATGTGTAAGTGAGATAGGATTAAATAAATGAAGAGTGTAATATATATAATTGTAACGCAAGAAAAAGATTGCCATCGTATTTAGGTAAGCATTTGAATTAACTGAGCAGCGATATCAAATTTGGTTAAGGTAGAAGAATGCATAGAAGAGCAATGGCTTTAGGCTAGAAATTTTAAATTTTAAACAAACTCAAATAAGCAAATACATTTTATAGTTATATATATATATATGCATATACATATATTTTTGTTTGTATCAAAGTTAAGCAAATATTTATAGAATTTTTTGTACGTCTTTCCACTTCATATTTAAATTATTTTCATGAAAATTTAATTCCGGTGCATATATATTATTATGTTCAAGTAGAAAAGAACTGGGGTCTTGTAAAATTTTAAATGAAAATGATAATACACAACAGTTTTCTTTATCGAAAATAAAAATAAAATGTTGCACACAATAATTAAATACAAAGATATAACATATCGAATACTTTATTTTATTTTACTTTATCTCTTTAATTTTTGTATTGAGTTTGTTCACACTTAGATCAAGCAGTGTTTGTAAATGTTTTTTGGCTTCTATTTAACTTAATTATGTTAAATAAAATAAATTTTACAAACAAAGCCTTTAACTATTATTATTACCTTTAAATTTTTTCTTGAAATATACAAATTTATAGTTTAAGATATTTCCCATTTCCCGCGTTATTTGAAATATTTCGCATATCTTTTCACTTACATCACCTAATGCAATTAAGATGATGAAAATGAATGCCTCAACTCTGTGAATATTTAACACATTATCCTTTCATTTTCCAATTAAAGGACGGCACACATGCACACATTGTTCGCAGGACAGATGCGAGAGGACTTTTACTCTGGATAGCAGAAAAAATTGACAACATATGAGCATTAAAAATTCGAAATGCGTATAGGTGAGTGTCTCTTCACAGGCATATGAATATATATGTAGTGGTTCCTTATTTATGAATGTTCATATGTGTCTGTGTGTGTTTTATAATGAAACTGGACTGTGTCGAGTGTGTTGATGAAATGTAGAGTTGAGAGCATAACTGGCACAGTCTGGATGTGTGTCAGTGTGCCTGTGGGGTAGCCCGAGGCAATGGATGTCTGCCAGACTGACCCAAGAGGAACGATGGGCGGGAGGGGATGGGTCGTCCAATTCGTGCCATGTGTGCCATGTTGCCCTTTCGCAGAGCCCAAAATGAAGCCCGAAACGAGAACAAGAAATACCCAGAACGAGATACAGATACAGAATGTAGGTGAAGTGCCGTCTGTCCGACTGGCTGTCTGTCCGTCTGGTCAGCTGACCGCTGGGCGTTGACCGGAGCTGAGTTCCGAACGAATCTGGAGCCAAAGCGGGCGGCATGAAACACTCAAAGACTCATTTGCATACTGGGTAAACGGTAAATGTAGCAGGGAAAGTGCTGCGGCCCACAGGAAAAGCGACTTTCAATTCAATTCTCGTGCATGTATCTTCCTCTGCCTCTTCTTGTTTGTTGGTTTTTTGTAATTAACAAACGAATTGGGTGCGTTGCCGTTTTTTTTTTGAGTTTCGTTGTTTATGAACTCACGGCGGCCATTAGAGCGCCTTTCGGCCTATCGCTGAGCGAGTGGCGAATGAGTTATGCAGTTGCCCTGATACCGATCTAATTATATGATTTATGCGCTCTGCATAATGCCAAACTATTTTGGGTTCTGGATAAGCGCACTGCGCTGCCGCCTAATCCCCGCCAGGCGCAACTCCAACTGCAACTGCCACAGCCAGCCGCAGAGATAAGCGAGGGGAGCGAAACACTGTTGCTGCAGTTCTCGCTATTTACGAGCTCGCATTTTGCATAGTTTCAAATGGCTGTTATACTCGTGCCGCAACACAAATTCAAGCCCAAAACACAATTCATTTCGCCCGGCCCAAGTGGCCAAATCCACAGCGTCGCCCAGCCGCATACAAATCTGCCGTTTTGCATTTGCTGGCCATATATCATTGCCCGGCGGGTCAACCACAGCCACAGCCGCCCCACAAAACGCCACAAAGCAGAGATCTAGTTGTACAATGGGGCAGGAATAACCACAATTCGATAAATAAATTAAATCAAAGTGTTCTTTGGAAGCTAAGACTTGGATTAGAAATCGAGATTGATATATTTTTTTGTCATTGATTGTTTTTGTAATTTGAAATGATCATCTCTGCAGCAATCAAGCATACATACATGGTCTAAAGTATATATTGAGCCAATTCTCGAGTTATTCTCGAGTTACTTTGCTTAAAGTTCAGCCAACCATTTACGATCCATATGGAAAGCTTTGAATACATTTCACTCAATATTCAAACTAGAGATCAAATATAAATTTATATACTATAATACAAGTTATACAAATTTAATCTTCTTAGTTTGTCAATTGCGTAATTACTACTTTCACTCATATATTTTGCGGTTTGAGTTTTTATATCAAATTTTGTTTATTATTTTTATTTTTTCAAATAAGACGCACTATTTAAGGCTTCACTTACAAAGAATAAAATAGTAAAGCGCAAATTAGCTTTAAGACATAGTAATCTAAACCTACTACAACTTGTTTAGATAGTATACATATATTATTATAAGTTGTCTACTAATTTCCTTCATTTATTTCATTTAAATTTTACACTAGCCTTTGCCTTAAACTTGTTTTCTTAAACTTTCAAGCTTCAATTTCTTTGCATTATAGAAATTTTATCTATTAAAGGAATGTTAGATTTATGTTTTATAAATATTCATACACTAAAAGCATGTTAAATTTATATGTTTTAAACAAGTATGCCAATATATATTCCGATCTTTGAAGAAAGTTAATTTCCAATTCAATGTATCTAACACTTTGAATTGATAAGCAAATTAGCGTTTCTTATATGTATATTTAATTAAAGAATATAAAGCATTGCATTTTAATTTGAACATTATATATACATATATCTATATATTTTTTTTATTATTTATATTTATTACATACAATACAAATTGAATTATTTTATATTTCTTCTTTGACTGCCGTGTTCTTTTGTTATGTATTATTTAAAATTTATTTATTATATTCTTTTTTGACTTTTTTTATCCCAAAGAAAACTTCTCTGTTAGTACTCCTATTATTCGTATATTTTTATCTGCTATACGTCTTAAATTTGTACCATGGTTTGTTTTCTGGAAACGGGCTTTGGTCCTGCCTGCCGCTAGCCGTTAAATGAGTGCCCAGCGCTCGTGGGCCAACTCCCGGTTCAGTTTCAGTTTTGCCGTTGAATGGCACCAACAATTTATGCACATTTTATTGACCACAACACTGAGAAAAAGCCCATTTGAGTTGCTGTTCTTGTTGCTGTTGTTGTTGTTGTTGTTGTTGCTGTTGTTGGTACAACAACATGTCCAAAAGTGTTTTATGGCCGTTGTGGGTGCTCAAGTGGCCATTTTGGGTTTGCTGCCAGCGAGGGGCGCGGGGGGCTGCATATGCACTCGCCGGCCTTGTCCGACAAGCACTTGGCCAGCAAAAATGTGTAGAGCCCTGAATACAGATGAGCTTAGACTCGACTAAATATGGCCAGTTGCGACTTGAAGCATTTGATTAATATCACTTTAGAACAGTTGGGGAATTTCATTCGCTCTAAGCTAATCGTAATTAGAGCCAAGTCAACGACCTGGGCCAATGCGGTTCAAAGTCAAAAACTCAATTAGCTGCTGATGAGCGGAAGCGGGGCAGCGGCCGCTCGTCGGCAGTCATCTAAAAATAAGCGTACATTAAAAAGCGCAATGGAGTCGAGTGGAAATCTCGTTAAAAGCCAATAACAGACGCCATTAAATGCGCATGAAAATGAAATGAGAACCGCTTGACGAGGCGGGCTGCCGGTCCACGCCGAGATTGGGGGGCGCGGTCTCCAGAGCAGCAGCCACGCGCCCACTTGAGCCGTTCAATTCAATGAAGTAATTCCGACTGACCTCACTGTAGCCCAGACAAGTTCAATGGCATTTGTGCATAATAAAACTCAAGATAGATGTATTGAGATATTTAAGGAACACATTGATAAATAGATAAGCTGAAATATTGTATGGAGTATAATGCATATGTCTTATATAAATGATTATTATTAAAGTTGGTTTCCGTACTAATTTATTTATGCATTTTACTCTTACTCAAAGTTCAGAAAAGGTACAGAAGATATTTAGATATAATAATATTTGATATTAAACATTTAAAATGGGTTTCATAAAACATAAAATAAATACGCATACCGTATTCATTTATTTCATGTTTTCGCAACTCATTTCTCTCATTTGCTCTACAAATGTAAATTGAAATCCAGCTATTAAAATATTCAATACGAATCAAAGTAGCCTTTTCCTGTTCCCACTCAGCTCGTACACATATCGATGCTGTACTTTGTCATTCCCTGCTTGGACTTAACATTGAAAACATAAGCAAAAAACATTGTTAAAGATTTTCAATTTACACTAGATGAAATCTGAATTTATTCAAATCTGGTAAATAAATCCAATCGAAAATGAATCGCGTGCTGGAGGATGTCATCCAGAAGAACTCGGCCAATACGGAGCGAATAACGGCTGAGAATACACTGGGCTACGTGGTATCTGACAACCTATCAGGCAATGTGGCTGCCACGTCCTTTGACAACACCAGCGCCCAGGGCATAGTGAAGCACATGAATATCCTGTTGGCAGGACTTGTGCAGAGCGCCGTCCGTGATCTGGATCCATCGAATTCGCTCTGTTATCTGCGTGTACTCACTCGCAAATTCGAGTATCTCGTTGCACCCGAGGAGGTGTTTACTATCACCGTAATACAATAAACACACAGTGAAAAGAGGTTCCGACATACTGAGAAATGGAAAATTAAACACATAAATATGTTCATTGCATTAACATATTGAAAATTCGAAAAAATAAGAAAATATACATTTGTTTGCCTCCCAAATATATAGTGAATTACTTATGCTAGAAATGATGAAAAGTCTTAGTCTCTATTATATCTTTATAAATATATTTTATATAGGTAAGAGTACAAGTATTAATACATTATTTTTATTTTATATAAATATTCTACAGATGTATATATGTATATACAAGAATATGTATTAATAGAGTATTTTTATATTTTAAAAATATATACATATATATATAATTTATTCCTTTATCTTCATTGACTCGCTTTTAACTTCCATCTACAATCTTCAATCTTAAGTTTGCACCCCTTTCGAGCGCCTAAGTCAACAATACGAAGAGGTATGGATTGCCTGAGCAGACCGAAAATCCTTTATAATACCCAAGTGACATTGGCATTATTTATGGCATGGCTTCATTGGGCAGCCGGGCTGGAAATTTATCCATGAGAATGCGGCATTCTAATGCGATAATTCAAAAGATTTACTTCTGTCAACATGACCATTTTGTAGACAAACTTGGGGTGGAAATTGCCTTTGACCTTTTTCGTTTTCGTTTTTCTCTTTTCTCTTTTTTTTTTCTTTTCTCTTTTTTGCTATTTTCATATTGCAATGGATGCTGGCTGCTATTTTAATTTAAAATGGCAGAGCTCGTAACTCATTTTAACGGCGCACCCTCCACACTATCAGAGTGTGTGTGTGTGTGTGTGTGTGTGCGTGAACTTGTCCTATTTTTACAGGCCTGGGCCTTTGCAGGGGTTGCTCGCTCGTTACAATAACTTATCTGGCCTTTTTTACCCCGGGCCACGGCAACGCCATAATCACCACGAAGACGCTCCTGGGGTGCGCTTTGTACTTAGCTATCGATGCTCGATCCCATTCCCATGGCCATTCTTCCATTGCTATCTCGAGGCAGTTGTCCATTGTCTTGAGTCGTTTTGTGGTACATACAGATGATATAGAAATAAATACAAATTTCTACAGCAATTGTAGATGGCGAGAGTTCCTCGAATATAACTGGCTTTTCGTCTCGCTCTTGGCCCATTGTGAACTCCACCTTGGTGGCAAGGTCGGGTTCATTTTGCGCACTTCATTTCAGTGAGCGTGAAATTCAATTAATCCATGGACCATTTTGTTGACGACTTCATTTCAAGAACTCATCTCAGCAATAACCCCCCCAGGCATTCATATTTCATCTAGCAATTCGTAACACTCGGCATTATATTCAAATAAAACGCTTTGCTCGGCCTCAGCTTGAATTTCAAGCTAACATTTTAATAGAATACGCACATATCCTCTAGTATGGCCTCCCCTCTGCCTCGGCCCGCGTCCCTTTGGGCGTGGCCCTGGCACATGTATTCACGCGAGCTGCTCTATGAATTTAATTAAGTTGTGCGACAAACCAAACACGAAATACAACAACAAACAAACACGAAACATATATGTATATTAATCGGGCATTTTAGTTCGAGGGAAGAGCGTCAAACGGGTTGGTCAGAGCCAGAAGTCAGCTGCCTGAATATAATATTTGTATAAGCTATACGACTTATTCTCCAACAATTCTTTCTTTAAACCAATATCAGTAAATTATATTCAATTTATTATATTCAATTTACTTCGATAAGTTCTTATTCAAATGTTCATAAATTCATAAGCCATTTCGTATTTATTTAATTAAAATGTCTGAAAATTTGAAATTTCAATTATATCACACAAATATATATATATAATGCTTCATTCACACTTAAACAAATTCATAACTCTAAATTAGACTAGTGGCTCAGTTCCTAGAACTTGTTTAGCTTCATATTGTCTACTATAAATACGAATAGAAATTCGTGAATCCCAAAAGAAATCGAAGCTGTTGCATCCACGAGCCTGTTCCAAATCAATTAAGTTAATTCAAACGCCGAAAAGCCATAGAAATGGGATTTAAGTGAGTGCTACAAGAAGCAACTGCTAAATATAGAAAATACACACGCACACACAAACACACACACAAGCGAATACGCGCTGCATGTGTGACAGAGATGGAGATGGAGCTGGCGACTGAGACGGAACCAAGTGAGCAGCAGAAAAATCCTCTCACTCAAATGCGCAGGCCAAACCCATTTTGCCTGGCGCTGGCTCAGCCCATGTCGCTACACTAAGAGAAATTAGCTAGACAAATAATACTAAAGAGCGTACTTTAGGAATATAAAATATTTATTAAGACAAATAAATACAAATATAAAAAATATATTAATTTACTCATGGACATATATCGATTGTTGATAGTATTCTCAATTTCCTTATATAAGCATAGCTCTTAACAAGGCAGCTCAACCGGTTTCGCGCAGTGCACCCCTACCCGAACCCGTTTTGATGAAATGCTCAATTTTTTCAGACTCGTTCAACCACCAAACATTTTCAGTTGAGACTCGCAGCGGCGCAGACGTCATTCACGTACAACGGTGGAGGCCGTACAGACATTTTGTTGCCTCGGACGGACGGAAAGACAGACGGATAGGAGTACAGACGAGAAAGAACTGAAAAGCGCCTTAAGAAATACACAATAACCAAAAAAAATAATGAGAAATTATTTATAAATAAATATATTTTCAATTAATCAATAAAATTAAAAAAAAAAAAAATAAATAAATTAATAAATTAAATTAAATTTATATATAATATAAAAAATCAATAAGTGAATGAGATATATTCCAAATACAGAGCGACCTGAATTACAGTGAGATTATTTAAATGACAAAGAAATAACAAAATCATAAAAATTTAATAAATAAAATAATAAAATGTAAATGAAAATTTGCATATAAAAAAAAATTATTTAAGTATAATTAAATGTCATTTGCTGCTGCTGCTGCTCACGATATAAACAATAAGCAGCAGTTGCAGCTATTATGCAATAGATGGCAGCAGCAAAATGCATGCGCCATCTATGGGTCGTTATGCGTTGACGTCAGTGCTGTCTTTGAGAGTCACTGCTGTGCGGTTTGACTGCCACTGTTACTCCTTCGAAGTTTGTCTGCAAAGTAACAGCGATTTATGCTTTCAGATATGTTATCTCCACTGATATGTTAAATGTTTCGAATTATGGGAAACTTTTTTAATTATATATTGAAGTAAATGATTTCTTATCTCAGTATAATTTCGGACATAAAATAGTTGATGCTGGAGAGCAAAATAAGATAGTAATGTTGGCTGAAGGCGAACGTTATTTAAAATGCATTTAATTCCTTTTTTTAACTTCTGCTAATTTGAACTGTTATACGCAGTTTCATATATCATATATTTGATAAGAAATTATTCAAGGTTCAGCTTGGTAGCTGATGAAAAGGAAGATACAAAATTTATCATTTCATGCTTACGTGTGTCTGACTTCCTCATACCACAACTACAATTATTGAAAACTGGTAGCTCGAAAAAAAAAAAGTAAAGGCAGTTCACTAAAAATTAATTCGATTGTGGATGAGCTAATAAAATGAAGCACCGCTAAGCCAGCCAAGTGATTGGCTCTGTTGCCAATCAAAGATTTCAATTCAATTTCGCTCGCTTGTCACAGCATTTGGGACAGCGCATTAAATTGAAGCGCTGAGCATTTCATTCAAAATCGGAGCAATCGAGGCATCAAGATGTCAGTAAACGCGAGCTTGAGACAACAAGATTGCATCGCTGCATCGTTAGGATCCTTGAGTCCAATGAGGCGAGACGTGGCAACGCTCTGGCGGTGGGGCATGGCTGGCGGGTCGAGGGCATTTGGCGAGGCAAAACATGAAAATCATCTTTCAACGGGCTGCACTAGCAGCTCAATGCAGCTCGATGGGTTCCAATCGCCAGCTGGATAAGCGGGAGCCGGGGCAGGGTCTCCAGGTGCTGCACGCGCACAAGTGCAAAAAGGCAAAACCGAATACGTTAACTAAAAACCTCAACTGAGTCGCAGTCGCCGTCGCAGTCGCCGTCACAGGCCGAGTCCAGTCCAGTCCAACCATTTGCGCTTCACTTGCCACATACACATCCACATCCACATCCAGCTCTTCGTACTTGCAATTCCAGCTTTTCATTTTGCTGTCGGCGTTGTCCACAAAATGCGCTGCACGCGAGCACCTCGACATGGCGTTGCATTCCGTCCGTCCCGCACGCCAGCCCAACTGGTTTTCTTGGACAAGGTGGCCGCCCTGTCGCCCTGCCATTCGCGCAATGGCACAATGGCTTCAGTAATATGTTTCATATATAAATAATAAATAATGAACAATTTTATTTATGCTATATGAAATAGGATAGTTTTATTAAACAATTATTAAGATTTATTCAGTGCAAATTTTTGTTGGCTTAAGTACGAGACATAAGTACGTCTTTTAAAGAACCGAATGACTTGTTCTTCAGTTTCATTATTAATGAATACAAATTGATATATAGATGAATGCAAATTATGTAAGCTATATTGTCCAACATTTCAGGGATCCTTTAATTCTATAGATAGAACAGTTTTCATTCTTCTTCCTGATAGACTACAGTTAATAGACACTAAAATCAAACCCTATTGTTATTTAAATTTAGTTATTTTTGCAATATGCTAAGCTGCCAATTCATTTGTCTGAATATTTAGAACCAGAAATAGTTTTCTTATTTTCAGCTATTTTTGTTCTCCATAAATATTGATTAAATTATCATGTTTAACTTTCCATCAGAGCTTTATAGATCAATATCAATTTAATAATATAGACGAATATTATAGAAGACGTCACAGTATTTGGCTTGACCTAAAAAAACAAAAAAAAAAGTTTTATGTATTATTCATCGAAAAAATGTTATACGTACGTAATAGAGTCTAAAGTCATTTAAAAGAGCCGAAGAAAACGTTGCTAATATCTAATATTTATAATATTTATATATGACTAGATTTTCTGTGTTCTTCTTTATACAAAAG